GGCTGAGGGGCCTCAGGGGGCGTGTGAGGGGCACCGCGGAGGGGCGGCTCCCCCTCGGCCGCGGCGGCAGCGGAGGCGCGGGCGGGCGGGCGGGCGGCGGGGCCGGGGGCGGCGGCGGTGGTGGGTTCGGCCGGCGGCGGTCGCCCCGGAGATGCCCTTGTGAGGCGGCCCGGGGGGCAGCGGCGGCGGGAGAGCGCGGGCTCGGAGCGGCCCCGCGGCGGGGCGGAGGATCGCGCCCTCCCTCCGGGCACCATTAAGAGGAAGGCGATGGAGGAGCTGAGCGCGGACGAGGCGAGTGCGCGGGGCCGGGGCCTGAGGGGCGGGCGGGCCCCGGGGAGGGGGCACCGGGCGGGGCCGGGCCCTGTGCGGACCCTGAGGGGACGCTGGGCTGGGGAGGGGGCGATCCTGGGGGGCTCTGCCTTCGCCCTGTCCTTCCCCGGCGTTTTCTCCGTCCCCCTATCTCTGATCTGCCCCTGACCCGCGGCCCCCCGGCTCGGCCCTGGGGTTGGGTGGCTGCTCTCCTGGTTAATTGTTTATTTTCCTCTCCCATCTGCCAGGTGGCCTTTGTGTGCAGCGTGTCCCCTCGCTGTGCCCGGCGCTGGGCGTTCGTGTGTTCTCTGTGTGTGATGTAAAACACCCAGCCTTTTAGCCTAGTAATACACTTAACGTCTTGCCTCTCAGACTCTTTGCTGAGGAGCAAGATGGGCGTGTTTGTGGCCTTATATTTAATGTCGTTTCTTCTTGAAACAGGCTTCTCAGTTTTCCAGTGCTTCCTTTGATTGCCTTTTCTGTATTTATTCAACTTCTTGCTCTTTCACTGAAGCCTTGTAGTGTTAGGTTGTAATGGACAAACCTGTGCCATGGAATAACCTGAACTGTTTCTTGTTTCTTCCTTTTAAAGGGTGGTGTTTCCTTTTTGTTTTTTAATATAGACTGAGGTTTTATGTTTTGCTCATGTACTAGAGGACTTCCAAATGGATTATGTCCTGGCACTGATCAGGATATAGAGACTTTCCCACTGTCCCAATGTAATGCCCAAATCATGTAAAACTTGAAATCTCCCACAACTTTAAAATAATAATTTCATATTAATGTGTATTGCATGTGTATAAAATATATTGTATTGGACCAGCTGCAGTGCAGCCTCAGTGCTTGTATTCCAGGGAGGATCAAAAGGTGTTATTTTTGTTCTGTGCCATATCTTATAGTGGGATTGTGGAGCAGTGGCTGCCGGTATCCCTCAGATTTGCATTCCATAAGGTTCAGATGGTTTGGATCATGTTGTGTATCATGATTTAGCAATCCTGCTGTGTTGCATCACGATGTAAGAGAACATACTTGGTGCTGTTTACTTGATGGACATCCTCATACTCTCTGACAGCACTGGGAAAAGGAGTACAATTCCCACATTGGGAGGAGTGGGATGGGACAGTGGTGTTGTAATTCTTGCTGTGCTGAGGGATCTCTGGTTTTACAGGTGTATTTCATGAGGACTTTGTTTACAGACAGTTCTTCTCATTGTTGAGCTGCCCTGATCGTGAGGTGTTTTATGATTAATTTCAGAATTATTTGACCTAAGGAAGCTGGTTTGTGTCCCTGCCTCAGCACTGACATCATCAAACCACTGCATCGTGGCTCTGAGGCTGCAGGACAGGAGTTCTCCAGGGGGGACTCGTCCACCTTTTCTGGCAAAACGTTTGTCTCCAGTGACTCAAAATTTTCCAGGTCTTTCTTGTCCAGTTCAGCAAGGATCAGGCTGACTGGACTTTTAGGTGATTGCTTGAGACAATCTTGTATCATTTTAGGAGAGTCACAATGTCACTTCTTGTTATTAATGGATCCCTCACTGGAAAGTCAGAGCCAAGTCTATTTTAATATTCCTCCAAATCTCCACTTTACTCTTTTTTGGCGCAGTGGATTAGACTAAATGGAAAAATCACCTTCTAAAATACCTTATCTGTGACTTCTTTAGATTCAAACTTTTTATTGGGCCCTGACTAAAGGTGAAAAAACACTTCACGGCAGTTTAAAGTAATTGCAAGGCTCTTCCAGATAAGATTATCTTCTATCAAACCATAATCAGTTATAACACTAATGGATTGCAACTTAAAAAGAAGAGAGATTGATACAATTGACAATGGCTTTGGGATTATAGGATATATTTTAGCTTCAAGGAGGTATTTTCCACTGCTATCAAGTGTCTCTCACTGAAATCTTCTCAGTGTTTGCTGGGCACTGGAAGTTGTCATTCTGCATAGACCAGTAAAATTTTTAAAGGGGGAGAAAAGAAATTTCCCTTTTAGTGTGTGAATTTTATCACAATAGCTAGCCCAAGATGAGAACAGGGGCTACATAGAAAAAAAGCAGAATCAAGCTAAATGTAGCTAGCATAAGGTGGGAAAGAATGATGTTAATTTATCATCTTCCAGCATATAAATGATTTTTGAGTAGCACTTTCTGAGCACAGAACATGACCAGTGTCACCAGAAAATGAAGCATTTCTTAAACCAGTTTAAGGTGTTTTAAGGAATATAAGCAATATGAAGTTATCTGTTCAAATTACTCTTTGTTGTACAGATTTGGAACTCTCCTATTTGATGGTAGAATCAGAAATTTCTTTAGGGTCTCACTAAGCAGTTGCCACTAAAGCAGATATTGATACAGGATTTTTTTTAACTGGGAGTGGGTGAGGTACAACTTTCCTGGCTGTACATCTTTATTGGCCTGTTGCAGAATTACATTATCAGTTAACCAGCTCTAACAGGGTGCTATTTTTACATTCTTTGTTGTGATGCATCCACGTAACAGCTTTTAAGAAGTCCACTAAGATCAAAAATGTATTTCTGAAAACTCCTATTCAAAGACATAGTCCAGATATGTCCAGCAAAGGCTGTGCTGGTTAAAAACCAATGTGCTCTTTCCATCCAACCAATTAGATTTTATTTTTTTTCAATTAAGCTTTTAAACTGTGTTCTAGAGCTGTGCTTTGTAGGGAAGATGGGCTGTGGAGCAAACAATGCCCCTGTAATAGTCAACACCAAGTAAGTTGTCACTGTTAGGTAACAATGACACATAACAGCTTTGTCATGTCCCTGTTGCAGGTATTTATTGCTGAAATCAAGGGTTGGGGATTATTCAAACACCCTGAACTTCCCTAAGAAAATGTTTTAAAAGCCCAGCCATGTGCTGCTTTGTGGTAATGTGGGGAGTCATTCGGTCCAAAATGGGAACAGGTCACTTGGAGCTCCCGCAGTTCTGACCTGTTATTTAAATTGTGTGAAGGCAACAGGTTGGGGTCTCCTTGTGTTGTGCAAACAAGCTCTGTCTCCTGAGCCCCTGTGTTGTGTCCTCAGCATAAAGCCCATCTTCCCTCCTCTCTTATGTCACAGGGAATTAACTGGATAGAATGTCTCCACCAATTTTGTGCTGGATTTTCACACTTCTTTTTCAGCCTGTACTTTTGCCTTTCTAGGTAGTATCTTTGTTTCTCCTTTTTTTTTTGTTTGCTTAAAACTTCCTAATCTTCAGATTAAACTTCAGATTCCCCTGATAATTTTATATAAACCTAAAGCAATATGACAGCTCAGGGTATCCAAGATCCAGATCTGGTCCTTTATTTGCTCAGTGTACCCTCAGTTGTGAGGTACAGATCCCTGTCTCTGTCAGCGGGAAAAATATTCAGAGTTTATTTATGTTGTAGTGTTACTTTGTTCAGCAGTAAGAAGGGTAAATATAATTTACCATCCTTAAAGGGGCAGGGAAAAATATTGTATTAGTTTCAATTGCAGTGTCTTACCTCAAGGTAGCTCAGTGTCTGGGCAGGTTTCTCCTTCCAGGCACATCTCAGACTGTTTTTCAGGGCAGGTCACAGCCTGGGGGATTGACCCCCAAAAAGGTGAGTGGTTGATGGACTGAGAGGGACAAATACAAGGCAGAAGGGTTGTCTTGGTGCCCTCCTGTTGGGGCAGTGCTGACTGCAGCTGGATTTGCTGTGACTTGGGCATTGACCTGGCCCAGCACTGGAGGGGAAGGGATGCTGAGCACCACAAGTGACCTCAGGTATCTGCCTGGGACTGGGAGATGATGGAGAGGTGACCTTGTTTGAGTAACCAACTTTGGGCTGCACTTGAGGATAAATTGATAAATATATTGGTTATTATCTCTGCCTTTTTGTCCTCACACATCTCCTTCCTAGCATCAGACTGGGGACTTGCTAGCAAGGATGACTGTGAGCAGTTGTGGAAGAGCTTCACATCATATTAATTATATAAAAACCAAGAAAAATAAATCCTCATCTCTCTCCTTCAGACACTGCTGCATATATGGACTGTTTGTGTGTGTATTTTTTTCCATTCCTCCCTTTATCCAAAATACATAGGTATGGACCTGTTTAAGGGAGAGGAAGGAGTGATTTAAAATTTTTAATCAAACCCCCAATTCAGAGAGATTTCAATTCAGCTGGGTTGTTTTTAATTTGGTATTTTGTGAGCTGTGAGCACTTCATTTGGATTCAGCAGTAGGGAAAACAGATATGGGGACACAGAGCTGACATTTTCTCAGTTATACCTCCGGGGGCTGAGGTAGTTCTGTATTTTTTTTAATTTTAGATAAACAGGTGGATGAACAGCTAAAAAATTAAGATGTAAGGTACAAGTGGAGAAGAGAGAGACCCTAATATGTATTACTTTTACTCAAGGCAAAGCTGAACAATTTATTTATGCTCCCCTATTTTGCTTGACAAGGAGGAAGGATTCAGAGATTCTATTCATAGGCAATTTTTTGGGTCTTAAATTAAAAAAAAAAAAATCCTAGCTGCCTTCCATGTTCATGTGGTGACACCTGTCGTGGAGGGAGATGTAGTTCCAGACAGTGTTTTCCCACAGTTTCTGAAGTCTGATTTAATTTGATCTGTTTTTCTTCCTGTTGGAGGAGGTTTCACAGGCCATTAAATGGTACAGGAGTGGAGCGTAGACATTGACTTGACACAAATCTTTTGTTCACTCTTTCACTTGCTTGGCAGTTCTTTAGGATTATGAGCAGAAATGAACACTGTTAAGTTGTGTGCAATGCTTGACTGTCATAATACAAAGAGAATAACAGGAATTGCTCATTTTTGCAGGGAGTTGACACCCTCAAATACGATACTTTTATTTTGGGCCTTTTTCGAGCTGAAGATGTAAGGTTTGGGAACATCCTGTTTTTCATCTATGGCAACCTGAAGCACTTATAAATCGACTTTTCTTAAGTTATATTTTGCCTATTTATTCCTCGTGTATATCCTTAGTGTTCTGCCATCACGTACAATTTTTAATAAATAGGTTCATAACAGTTTTCTGAAGTTGGATTTTGAAGGCAGATGCTTCTTTTTCTTAAAAATAAAATACTGGTTTTTAGATTCTGTGTGGTGGAATCTGTGTAGGTGACGAGAGGATGTTTTTTACTCTGTCTTCACTTCTCAAAGTGCTTCTGTCCAGCAGATGAGTTGTATGTTTTTGGTGTTACAGTTCTGTTTGGGATTAACTTGGTCTTGAATAACCTTCAACTGGACCTTCTTCATCACAGGTGTTTTGGTGTCATGAGAATTTAAAGGTCATGTCCATATTGTCCCTTTTATCACATTAATGCATTTGTCAAATGCCAGAATAAATGAGGGGGAGCGTGGCAGGTTTTGAGATTGCTGAGCAGTAAATGTTGGACATGTCTTACCCAACCCCTGGAGGGACAAGCACAACCTTCTGCAGTGCAAATGGCTTCCCAGGGCAGCAGATACACACTTAGAGCTTTGGCATCGAGGGGATGATGGTGTTGTGACACAGCACCGAGCAGCAGCACCGAACCCACTGAGCAGCTGTCAGGTAAAGCTGCAATGTTTGCCTTTCCAGGAGTCAATACCCTGCTGGGAGGGAGGGCAGAGGGCAGCCTGGGGAGTGTGTGCACGTGTGGGTGCACAAAAAGGGACTCATTTGGTTTATTCCCTGTTCCCTGTGCAGCTGTGGGTGCACACAAAGGTGTTCACTTGGTTAATTCTCTGTTCCCTGTGCAGATGTAGGTGCA